AGAGAGAGGGAGGGAGGGAGAGGGAGAGATCAACCTTTCTCTCTAGTTCAGTTGGCGTTATTTTGTGGGAGAGAGAGAGAGAGATCCATGCATATGGTGTGGCCAGTGCTTATTCACTTTATGTTTTTAATTTATTGGTGTATTTTAGCATCATAACTCCAGCACCAGGACTCCAGTTGTGTTACCAACTTTATGCCCACAGCTAGTTTAATGATCTCAAATGTGTAATACGTGAGCACATATCGCGAGTATATTACGCTATTAGATCATGTGCACACTTTAATAATTGTATATACAATGTAATACATGGTGCCCACATTTATTTACCAAATATTGGTCTACTTGTATTTATTTGTATTCCATTATATATTAAGCATTGAGACCAACATTATTCATTGTTTATGTCTGCCTTTGCATTCTATATTCCATGAAATGCATCATTTGGACTCTATGATTGTAATAGAGCAAATGAGGTTTCAGGTTATACAGAGTTTTGAAAATGGTTCATGCGTGTAATGCTTATCACGAATTTTTTCTGGAGTAGGTTGTAAAACTCACTGTTTTCCTATGATAGTGTAGCCATTCAATACCGGAATAAGCTTTATGTTAGTTTATTTTATTGATAAAGACTAGTGTAACTGTATGATCTCGATCTGCTGGAGCTCTCTAACAACAGCTGCAACTTGTCAGGTTATTCAAGGTGATGTTCTCAAATGTGAACTGCCATACTTTGATGTCTGTGTGGCCAACATACCCTACCAAATATCGTCTCCCCTTACTTTCAAGCTTTTGTCGCACCGGCCCATGTTTCGCAGCGCTACCATCATGTTTCAGAGGGAGTTTGCCATGAGACTTGTTGCAAAGCCAGGAGACAGCCTTTATTGTCGTCTTTCTGTTAATACCCAGCTCCTTGCTCGAGTCTCTCACCTCTTAAAAGTTGGAAAGAATAATTTTAGACCCCCGCCTAAGGTGGACTCCTCAGTTGTAAGAATTGAGCCTCGAAAGCCACTTCCACCTGTGAGCTTCAAGGAGTGGGATGGGCTCATTCGTCTTTGTTTCAGCCGAAAGAACAAGACTTTGGGCTCAATTTTTCGTCAAAAATCTATACTTTCCTTGTTGGAGAAGAACTTTAAGACTGTTCAGTCTTTGCAAGAAGGAATGGCTGATGTCTCCATAGGTGATGCAGCTGTATTGGGCGATACTTCAGGGGACTTGAGCCTGGAAATTGATGAAGCCATGAGAGATGACGACGATATGGAGGTTGAGGGTGATGACATGGAAGCCGAGGCTTCTACTTTCAAGGATAAGGTGTTGGGTATCTTGAGAGAGGGAGATTTTGAAGCGAAGAGGTCCTCAAAACTCACTCAAGTGGATTTCCTCTACTTGCTCTCTTTGTTCAACAGGGCCGGTATTCACTTTTCCTGATGCACGCCCTTTTGCTTGAAGTTCTTTTCGGCGTTGCTTTTGAGCTCCATTTGAGTGGAATAGGTTTCGAATTTTGTACCACTAGATTCCCGGTTTTGCAGTATTTGAGTATGAGATTTTGCGTTGCAGTTGTGAAATTTAGAATGTCGGGAAAGAGGTTGGCGTTAGCCAAATTAGTCAACATTTATATGTTTCGATGCAATAACAAAATGTTATTTGTAACAAGTAGTTTTGTTAGTTGGTTAATCGTTCACATTTTATTCATGAAATGGGTTGGATTGGTATTATTCTGGATATGGCAAAATCATTCTATTAGATCGAATAAGTACATTAAGTACTTTGTGTCAGAATTGAAAAAGTCTATGGTTCGAATTTTGAGTATTCTCTTATGTAGCACCTTTTTCAACATTGAATCCTTGTATTTTCAGTTTTGTAAGTTTAAATACACAAAAATATATATGATGCTTGTTGAGAATTGTTTCGGGTGTTCAGACCAGCGATCCACTGCCTGATCTTATCAATGGATGGTGGCCCGTTAGGTATAGCTGCTGACCTTAACCCTCTATGGGCGGTAGAGCATCCCTATTATATTTTTGGCAATGTTTAAAAAAATAGATAGGCAAGCTGAATCGATCTCAAAATTCATGTCAGATTGGTGGATTGGCGAATCCGACAAGAAAATCGGGCTTCAAGTTTCGGCCCAAAAAGATTTTAAAAAATCACTAAATTACTTTTAAAATCTAGTTTTTTATGTTTTCAAAGAAATTTGGATTTTTTTTTTTTTTTCTTTTTTCTTTACATCCTTTTGGAGTTTCCTTTTCCCCTTAATCGGCCTAAAATTTACAGACGGACCCTGAGAAGAGCAGCCTTTTGGAGTTTCCTTTTCCCCTTAATCGGCCTAAAATTTACCGACGGACCCTGAGAAGAGCATACAAATGGTGCAGAACTTTTTCAGGATAAAGGGGTCCAGCGAAAATTATTTAGTCTCAAATTTGAGCTTAATCCCACATCAAATGGTCAAAATATAGCCCCTCAAATTTTACGATTTGGGACGATAAAGGGTGCTCCCTCTATCGACTCCAAATTTACAAACAGCCCCAAGAAAACCGACCGTTGTTCATGGGAGAGAGGAACAATGCTGAGCTGAAGTTTCGAGTTTAAGGTCGATCCAATGTCGGGAAGTAACTTTCTAAAGCAATATTAAGTGGACTATCAAAGGACCACAAAACGTTTGTAGAAAACTGCACAATGTGACCATGGTCTAGCAATTAAGAACAATTTTCCAGCAATGTGCAAGTTCTCTTCCTCTTAAAGTTTTGACTGTATCTCATGATTTTCCAAACGAACTCAAATTTTGATATGTTTTTTCCCACTCAGCAAGTTCTATTATATATATCGAGGAGGTTCCTAAAGTAGATTATGGTTAGATTGAAGGAAAAAGTAAGGGGTTGAAAGTGCATTATGGTTATTTGAAAGTGGATTCATGTGCAGTAGTAGTTGCCATGACTTCGATGTTCTTCATAAGCAGTGCGCTATATCAGATAGCAGACCACAATTAATTGGGAAAAGTTATGATGATGATGATGATTTTTTACTTAATCCCCTTTCACTGTTAAATTGGTATTGGGTTAAAAAAATGTTGGCCCCATAATAGAGAGAAGTTGCTTGAAAAACAAGGACAATTTTTTTTTTTTTAAAAGGACCCAATAATTTGATCATATTATTTCTTAGAGTTTTTAATCCACATTCCTACTCAACGTTTTAAGGATAATTCCACAAGATTTTGGTGGTTGATCGTCAAATAACATCCAATAACCTGTGAAATTGGAAGAATTCTAAGGGAGCATGGAGTGTTCTTGAGAAGTTGATGCCGAACCTATAAGATGATTATAACTCCCTCAATCTTGGGAGTTTTTTATCCAAATTTATCATAAAATGATGATGGAAACTTTTTCCACAAAAATCCAAGAGAAAATTCGAACAAAAACTGCCAAGATCAAACAAGTGGGAATTAGATGCTAAGGGCATGTTCACGATATTTTAAAGTTTTAACCACTCAAACTGTCCAATTTTTTGCCCAATCATCCATCATCTGGGGACCGTTATTGAGATCCCCATGCTTCTTATGAACTCTACATAAACCCCTTAACCCCAAGGTTGAGAAACTTTTAATAGGATGAAATAAAACTCGTGCCCTCCTAATTTAGGGTTTCTATACCCAAATGCCCTCTCCCAAATTTTCAAATTTCGGGAATACCCTTAAATGGATAAGAAAATATCCCAGAATTCCTCAAAACATCCAAAAGTCCTTAAAATCCCAAATTACTTTGGCTATCCTTAGCAAACCCCGAAATCCGTAAACACCAAAGTTGAAAGGTACAGCAAGCCAACAAGATTGAAAGCTAGGAAAACGGATTTTTAGAGCAGATCAACCTCAATTGGCAAGAGTCACCAATACCGGTACTGTGACACACCATCTCTACTCACATATCTCGAGCAAAGCGGGGCCATATTCCCTGCAAGAGACTTGGCATTAAATCTTCACTCGGTGTATCGACATATCGAATCGAGCGAGTGGGCTTCCCTTGATAACATAGAGGATCTGGCCACACCCAATTTGGGAAATTCACGAACCCACCCCCTCTGCAAGTACTTCGGTACTCATATGTAACAAATTGAATATTGTTCTTCCTATTTGCGTGCATTCTTTGATTGGAGTCAGATTTTCAATCTAAAACACCTAATCACACACGCAAGCTCATGTCTCTCTCTTAAGGAAAAAATTTATATAAAGTATCAACCTTATATTGTACAAGTAAGGTGACTGAAAAAACCCACTAGAGAAAGTTGTTCTTATGTTAGAAAACCTTCAAATCAATCGAGATTCATAGACATGACCAAAAAAAGGATTTTTAATTCTAAAAATAGTTCATCTTCTAATACATTATCTGAACAGTCTATTTCAATATTTTCAAGTGTTTATAGATCTGCTTGATCATCACCAATTTTGGAACTTTAAATTTCATAATTACATGAAAGCATAGATTTTCATATTATTGCAAGGCTTTGCGGTAACGAAACTATATTATAGGCATAGTTTGAGGTACACCATACTTCAATTGTATAAGGTTGACACCTTATACAAACCTCACCCTCTACTAATATACCTAAAACTAGTTAAGATTTTTACGTATGAATATAATTTGTCCTTTGCTCTATGTATTTGTTGGCATGTGCATGAAAGTAATATATATGCATGGATTACTTGCCTTTAAAGTAGTCACATATTTATTAGAATAAATTTCAATTATGAGAATTATAATCAATATGGCACTCAAGATACTATAATATGCAATGGAGTGTAGTGCTCTTACTTTTCAAAAGATAGTTCACTCTTCCTAAGATGCATACGACCAAGCCATTGTGAGATTTGGTTCGAATGTTGAGGCTTGAGAGTGAGACCAAGGCTTAAATTACGGGCCGTTGCAATAAAAGGGGAATTTATCAAAGTACTCATGAGGGATGAATATAACAACTTATCTATTCCTTTAATTTTATTTCAAAAGAGGAGCGATTTGTATAGAGTTGAGGCTCTAAACAATCAAATTACAGCACACCTTCAAATAATGTGAGAAATGTGGTTTCGATATTGGAAATCTTTGTAAAATTTTTAAAATATATTTTCATTTTTAATAATAAAATTTAAAGCTTCAAAAATAGTGTAGATCGAGCAGATCTATGAAAAGTTTAAAATCTTGAAAATTGACGGTCTAAATTGCCTTACAAGATGCACTATTTCTAAAACTTGAAATTTGTTTTTTTTTCTCATGTTCATTTATCTTGATATCAAGATCATCAATTAGAGGATATTTGGACATCAAAACAACCTCTTCTGATGAAATTTTTTAAGTGGGCTCTAATTTGATTGTTTAGAGCCTCGGCTCTATGTAAACTTTTCCCTTTCAAAATACCCATATAAAAGCACGTGATCTTGAGTTGGAATAGTTGTAAATAACTAGATCTTGATTTGGAATAGTTGTAAAAAGCTAAAGTGTTAAATAGTTCAACTCTTATGAGTATTTTGAACAATTTTCTTAATAAAAATGATGGCCATTGTAAAGGAAATGACCTTGCTTGCGACATTATTTAAAGGTAATGGGTATGAATATAGGTGTAACAAACGATTTGGGAACTAAATAACGACCTTTGTTTTGTATGTTTAAGAATCTTTTGCATGTTTAAGAATCAAGAATTGGATAACAATTGTTAAATTTTTCCTTACTCTATTCCATGCTCAGGTAAAGAGGTTAGATTCTGCTTGGTAGACATCCAACATAAACTTTATCAAAACTTATTATGAATGGCGGATCAAGATTCGTGTAGCCAACTCCAATTAGTTGAAAAAAGGATTTGACGATGATGATGAATTGGGTAACAATTCGAGCACCTTCTGATTCTACTCTGCGCAACTTGGCCATAGTAGTGAAAAATCATGTAAAACAAAATGCATAGAACTTTAGAATTACCCTAATCCCCAAAGTGAACCCATGACTAGCCTGATTCTGGACAATCCAAGCAATTCTCAACTTGGGACCATCTGGAACCCGGTATCCCTCGGTTCATGGTGCCAAGCCAACTTGACGATCTTTGAGTCGGATCGCCTATTATTCAACCAATGTTATTTTGTGATTTATATGGAGGTTGTCCAAGTTCAACCCAAATCATTTTGGATACGTTAAAGCCTCAAAATCTTTTATTGTTTTCCTTTGCAGCACAAGCAATAAGTAGAGAAAGGGAGATCATATTTACTTTTGTTTAAAATTGAGAGTGAGGGAGATAGAGATTACATTTGAAAGAAAGAGAGAGAGAGCACATATTACATTTGATTGATCGGTAGAGAGTAAGATATTACATTTGATTGATCGGTAGAGAAAGAGAGAATACATAGATGAGAGAATGAGATTATATAAAAGTGTTAGAGAGAGAGAGAGGCTGAAAGATATTATATAGATGAGAAAGAGAGAGAGATATTTACAAATATTACATGTGATTGATCGGTAGTTGGGTCATATTATTGGAGGGGATTTTGGCAATTCTCCAATGAATGTGTTGATGGCATCCAATGCCAAGAAAAACATCAGCTTTTTCCCTTGTAGTGGGTGGGGGGGGGAGGGTTGGGGTTTAAACTTTTCCTACTGCCCTTTCATGTATTTGATATTATATGATATGGGAGGAGGAGCATTTAAGCTCAAATTGCCACAAACAACTAAAAGACTTTTAGAACCCTCCCTCCAATTTGCATTCCCTTTTTATTG